CAGTACATGTTTGATTTCTATAACTATTTTATATACCTTTATACCTATGTCACATAAAAATATCTTGGGACCAAGGTGGAGAAAATGTCAGAAACCCCAAGTTAGAGAACGACCCCTTCCAGAATCTCTGTACGTCTAATCCTGGATCTGTTTTCTTGCCAATCAAGTGCTCTTTTAATTCCTTTGGATTAATTGGCATCTCAGGTTATTATCAGAATACATCTAGTTCATTGCTGACTTCAAAGATCAGAACCTCTACTAAGTCTCAGTCTTCAGAGGAAACAGAGGTAGAACTGTGTGTAATCACTATATTAATGACTTAACTCACTCTCTAGATAAATTCTCTCATAAGTTTTAAATGGTATGATGGTCATGATGAAATGCAATTGAACAATACAGGTTAACAGCCACTGAGGCAAAGCAGTGGACACCCAGCACCAATTTCTGGGGCTGACCTCAGATTACAGAGAGTCCTTCATTTAGGATTCTGGAATCAGTATAACGTATTATTAGTGTCTGCTTCAACAGTTAAGATATTTTACTCAATGCCAAATAACATACATGATGAAGTGGGGAATCCTGCTTTGGGAGAAACCATACCCCCCCCCCCGTTTTTTTTTTTTACATTCACATAGCAGTGTTCCCCCAAAATGAACTCTAGGCAGCTTGCATGGCTCTCTTCTTGCTCACTTAATCTTCAAAACAAATTTGACATATAGAACAAACAAAAAGATACAAAGTAACCCAAGATCATCTAATGGATTTCAAGTCAGTTTCAAGGCTCTGTGAGGTTCTGTGTTTCTTCAATTTTCTGTTATTACCCAGATTTTGTCAATATAAAAAAAGAAAGAAATCTCTGATTAAAGAAGGAAAAAAGAATAAGGAGGAGGGGGATTTGGGAGGGTCAATTCCTGCTAGCTTTAAAATAATCTGCTAACTTTATAGAATCAAAGAAGCATAGAATCATGGAAGAATCCACTAAGGCCATCCATCAGATCCCATTCTGCCATGCAGGAAAATACAATCAAACCATTCCTGACAAATGGCCATCCAATCTCTGTTTAAAAACCTCCAAATATAATATAGGAGTACTGACTCTTAAGCTACCTGACTAGCAATGTACAACTTTATTGATTTAAAAGATCTATTTATTTATTTATTTCAAAGCATTTCCCATAATACAGTTGTCCTGTTCCATGGTCTGTTACCAAAACTATACTCCCCCACCCCCACCTCATCATTCACATAGTGTTATTTAACATACAGCTCTGTTAGTTCTATTACTACTACTTATGCTAATTTTGTCCATTACATATAATTTTGCAATATATTTCCAAATTGTTCATCCACTGTCTTTCTTGATCATTTGGTGGTTTGAATTCACCATTAGTTTTACACATGAAGGTAATATAAGGCTTCCATCTATTGTCAAATAGATCTTTTTCTATTTCTCTTTTTGCTCATCTTAGTTTATAAGTTAACTTTTCTGATAGGCCTATAGCCCATAACCTATTTAACCATTTTTTATTGACATATTCTCTAGCTTTTACCAGGTTTTGACTATTTGGAGTCTTGCAGAACATAACATGAGTAATATAAGGTTTTTGTGTAATATAAGGTTTTTCCGTTTTCTTATTTTAAAATATAAAAGTTGCTTCCTGAAGTGTACTGTTTCCCCCACTATTTGTATTACCTGTCGTAGAACTTCATCCCAGAATCTTTGTACTTTTGGGCATGTTCGTCACACATGGGTCCAATCCCCTATTTCTCCACACTGTCTCTAACATAATTTGGAAATTCCATGACTCATTCTATGTAGTTTAATTGGAAAATAATAGCATCTATCCATAATTTTCAAAGTATTTTCTCTCAGGTGCTGAAATTGATTTATACATAATGTACACATGATACAAATCCATAGAGAAAGAAGCCAACTCATTCTAGAAGAATCAAGAATAATCCTCAATGATAGTTTCAGGGAGTATGAGAAGTTAATTGCTATGAATGGGCTAGATAGCTTCCCTTTCACCACACAGGATCTTTGAATACTATACCCAATGTTGTAATTTAGAAAAGCCAAGACCTACCTTGTAACTTCATCCATCTCATAGAAAGAGAGATACATGACAAAGATCAGATAATACTGTAATAATCAGTCCACCTTTCAGAACTATTAATTCCAAATGATCAGGTGACACACATATGTCTCAGCATTCCTTACTATAAAAATTGAAAACATATTCTATTTATGAAGAGAAGTATGACAAAACTGCATTATCGGCTGCATCGGTGTGTGATGTATCATTATAACTCATCATCATTATATTTCATCCCATTAATATCAGACAGCAAGAGAGCTTTTAATCCCTCATTGTGGTTTCCTGAGCTATGTCTTCAGGAGATGGTGAAGTGTGAACTCTACATTGTAGGACCTTTCTCTGCTGATGTCTGTCCATGCAGGCCTGATGCATATGAGACAAAATCCTCCCACAGTTTTAGTGGGCGCTGGCAGCACAGTTGCTAAACTGAATCCAAAACCTGACTGAGCTCCTGAAAGCAAAATACTCATATGGTTCTGTTATAATTTATCTACAAGTATAGCAAACAAAATGCATTTTAAGCAATTGTACTTCTGCAGCTAAGAATTCCAGCCACTCTAGTACTGCTAAGCCTGTTTGTATATAGAAGTAACAGCTGTGTTTCAGAGAAAAGTGAAACAAGAATCATGTTTAGAACTTCTCTGCCAAAGGTAATCATTATTTATAAGCCATTAATTTCAGTTAAAAGCACTCAGGATATGTTGGGTACGCATAAGAGTAGAGCCATGCTATTTCTAGCAGAGCTTTTATAAACCAGCATCAGATTAAAGGAAGAAAAAAAAACCAGGAGATGTATATGAACAAAGCAAATCACCAGTTCCTTTCTTGAAGGGGTACTTCTTGAAGATTAATTGCTGGGATTTGTTTGAGGAATACATGTTAATGCACTTAATGGTTCTTGACTACTTTAAATGTTTTGCTTCATTAACTTAATATACCATTAACAGAGGATTTACTGCTTTTCCTGCAGGGGAGAATACTGCCAACATATTCATAAAAAATTATTGTGAGTTTTATTAGTATCACCTTTAAAAACAATCTGCAACACGTGCTTGATGTTAGCGGTTGGAGAAACTAAGGAGCACTAAGTACTGTTAACAATTTATTTCTTAGCTGACCCAACTGTGATAAATTGTAGCTTGAAGATAATTGGTGTTCTTTCCCCGTGTGCAATTGGATTTCAGTCTTGATGCAAGAATAGATACTTTAGTATGGTTAGGGTGGATATCAATTTGCTTATCATTCATGTGCCATTAAGGTTGTAATTCACAAACATGCATTTCATCTCTTCATGTCTACATAAAGGAAAGGATATGACAGGTAGAATTTTCATATCATTTTCAAAGCAGTGATTTTGAAAATAGTATATTCAGATATCGAACATAGTTTCAAACTGGAAGAAGTTATTAAATAGATGTTGTTTGACTAGAACTCTTAGATGCCCTTGCCAGCATGGCCAGAGGTCAAACACCTGGAGACCGTGTTTGAGAAGGACTGCCGATGGGGATTGCAAAGGCAATACCAACATCATTGTTGTTAGATTTGAAATTATAAAGGTTTGTTTAAGTCTGGTTTGCCTATGAAGGGTACAGAACACCAGTCTCAAAACAAGGGTGAGCTGCAATTTCTAATTCAACTTAAGAAAGGAAGGATGTCCTACAAACCCATGACAATATTGCCATAAATTGGAGTTGACCTGAAGGCATCTAACAACAAAAGCTATGGAATTAGTTTTTTGACAAAGAAAAATGAAACAAAAAGTGATTGATTAGTATATACCAAATCCTGAACTAAGAACGTATCCCTAATAACACTGAGAGAAAAGAAATATAGAGGTGGGAAGCTATGGTTCATCAAATAAGAGGGAAAATGCACTAGGGGAATGGGAAAGTGGATTGGGAGGGATTAGCTCAACAGGAACCTTGAGATTCAGTGGTAATTGAATTTTCAGTGACAAAGGGCAGAACAGATCAATGTATAGTAATAACAGAAATGGAGGAAGAAATAAAGTCAGAGCAGATATATTTACTTGTAATGGGGAAAGGAGAGTAAAAAGGGCTTAGCTTCCAGATTGGCTGCAGTTACTCAGAATCTCAAAGGGGCACTATTCACTTGGCTTTTATCCGGCTTTGAACCAGACAGTGGGGCGATCACCCCAATCAACCCATGCTGCAGCCTCCCATTTTGTGTAGGCAATACTGGCATGGGCAATGCTGACAAAGTGATAGATATTTAATCCATTATTTGTAATCACAGAGTCTTGAAGGAAGTTTTAGAACAGAATTTAAAAGGGGAGACATGGGAGCAAAGCTTCTAGATGCTTGACTCGTTTGTTGTTTTTGCATGGCTTCAGGTTTGTAGTTTAGGACCTTTCTGGCTGTTAATTTTAAAGCTCCTTCCCTAAACTACAGACCCTAGAATGTGTAATGCCAGTTCCATACCTTCTCTTTAAAGTGTAGTGTGATAATACACTGAGTGCTTTATCAGGCAGAATAACAAATACTGGTGGAGATAAGGGAACTGCGAGGAAAGAAGCACTGTTGGATCCCATAAATCATTAGTCCCATTCCTTTGAGCCCAGCTAGACTGCACCAGGCTGACACTGCTACAGATGCACTATTTACTCCTGCTGTGAAGCATGGGCTCTCTGGATAACCCAGAAGTTGGCTCCAATATTATGGTCACGTAGGCTGTGCAAAACCTCTTGGGGTGATCCTAGGCAGTGGATTAATCTCCCAGTGGAATTGGGTCACAACGTAGGACTCAGCACATGGAAAAACAGCTATGGGCACTTCACCAGATAAACTCTAATTGGCTATCCAGACAGCAGATCCATCTGGTCACAAAAAGCAACAGTGTGATGTGTGCAAATGAAGCAAGCTTTCTGAGCTAGGAAGCAGGGAAAGGTTAGAAGAGAATGATGAGGACAACGTGCTAGGTGAACCTCAGAAGATTCGAAATGTGGGTTGCATTCCATAAGGTAGGGTCTCAATAAGCTATTTCAAGGGTAATGAAGAGTTTCAACATATCACGATTCAGGGGAAATTGCAGAATATAAGTCAAAGAGACCATTGAGACAACTTTGGACACATTCAGAAGGAAATACTCAAGAGGGAATAAACAAAGGACATATAGATAGAGCATTACTTATCAAAAATTCTGAAATTGGTATACTCCAAAATAATATATAAGGATGGCTGAGACAGTGCCAACCTTGCTTCTTGATGATTTGGTGTACAGAATCTTTATCTTATTCACAAAATCATTAAAATTATTGTATAAAATTGCCTCAGGCTATGCTTATCTGTCATATATGTAACATGAATGTAATTGATGTTCAGGCTTGGGTCCTATCAACAAGATATCTCATTATGTAAAATGGTAGCTTCTCATAATTCAGTTACAGCAGATGACACACTTACTTACTTACTTAGGCGATCCCTTGTTGTCCAAGGAAGATTGTTCTCCAAGTTTGGTGTCCGGTGGTGGGTACGTAGGTGACTGTGGAGCCCTCTCCCTGACCTGCTTGTTCTCCTTCAGTGAGGGCATCAATTTCCAGGTGGAAGGAGGTCCCGGTTGGGGTTGGCTTGACACACCTTCCTCTTGGTATGTTTCCCTCTTTCACCCTCCATTCATGCCTCTTCAAATTCTACAGCACTGCTGGCCACTGCTGACCTCCAGCTGGAGCGCTCAAGGGACAGGGCTTACCAGTTCTCGGTGTCTATGCCACAGTTTTTAAGGTTGGCTTTGAGCCCATCTTTAAATCTCTTTTCCTGTCCTCCAACATTCCGTTTTCCATTCTTGAGTTCGAAGTAGAACAACTGCTTTGGGAGACAGTGATCGGGCATTCAGACAACGTGGCCAGTCCAGTGGAGTTGATGACGGAGGACCATCACTTCAATGCTGGTGGTCTTTTCTTCTTCCAGCATGCTGACATTTATCCGCCTGTCTTCTCAAGAGATTTGCAGGATTTTTCAGAGGCAATACTGACGGAATCATTCCAAGAGTTGCATGTGACGTCTGTAGATAGTCCACGTTTCGCAGGCATGACACACACACACAACATGACCAGTTAAAATCATGGTGGGTCCTACCGTCAAAATACTTTTCCTCCTAGTTGCCACCAGACTTCCATTCATGTATCATTTCCAAGACAAAAGATATATTACACATTCACAAGTTATGATGGTAATGCCAACAAAAACAAACATGCATGTATATATGGTTTGCCATCTCTCAGGGCCTGGTCTCTTCTTCATCCTCAGGGAAAGAAGAAGGGATGTCATGGTGAAAGCACTAGCTTGAAATGTGTGTCATCTATATATTTTTATTGTTCAAAGAGTTTGATTTTTTAAAATTTAATTGGCATACTTGTCCAACTGAAATTGATGTTTAAGATATATTTCTTGACAGCATCAAGGACTGCATCTTGTAGCATTACTAGGGCCAAGTTTTTGAAATATTGCAAGTGGTACTCCTATATCTCAGGTTTTCCATGGTCCGTCACATCTTATCAGTTAAATGGAAGATCGAGGGGCGGAAAAGAAGTAGAGGAAAAGGAAATGAAGACAATACTTTCTTTCATTTGATCTTGTCACTCCTGCTAGAGCTGCTTCTTTACCCACACAAATACGAAGAAAAGGAGAGGAGAGTTCTGAGAGGAGAAGACTACTTAGGATGAGCAGGAAGGTAGTTAAAATCAGTTGTGTGAGTGTGCATATTTTGCAGATCTCTTTATTCAGGCTGATCCCCAAACCCCAGGTCCCAGGAATCCTGCTACTCACCCTGCCCTTGTTCCCCAATTATTCCCTTGCTGCATTGGGCTACTGGCCTCAGGGGGACCTATTCCATTTCGATTAGTGACTGGGTTGTTTTGTAGGTTGTTTAAAACAACAACAGGATAAAGTTTATTCTTATTTATTTATTTATTTATTTATTTACTTTGCTTATATACCACTGTTCTCAGCCCGGGGGCGACTCACAGCGGTGTACAACATAGGAAGAACAAAATACAAGACACAGTATAAAAAAACAATTCACCATCCAGCATTATACAAAAACATCGTCATTACTACAAAAACAATTCAGCGTCGTCTCATCGTCCAAATCACAATCCAGTATCATTTTCCGTTGTTCCATTCCTATAGTCATTACCAATCATTGCACTTCTTGTTCGAACGCCTTCTTGAACAACCAAGTCTTTAATTTCCTGCGGAATATCATCAGGGAAGGAGCCAGTCTAATGTCCACGGGAAGGGTGCACGGGAAGGGTGTTCCACAGCCGAGGAGCCACCACCGAGAAGGCCCTATCTCTCGTCCCCGCCAGCCGTGCTATATTACTTTATTCTTGTTGTGGTTCTTTCTAGGAATCTTTAAGTCCTCCAGTGCAGTTCTAGGAAATTTATTATTTAAAATTCCCCAAACCATAGGTAATTTTTTCCTTCTTTCTCAAATCCAAAACTCTGTTTCTATTGGTTCAAAACCTTGCCCATGTCAGCTCTACACACCGTTAGCCTCAGAATTTTGTCTGAATTCCCCCAGAGACAAGTGCCTGCCTTTTAATACATTCTGCTTAAGGAATCTTATGAGCCTCTTGAATTGTCTTGGGGAATATTTTCCGAGTTTTCCTTTTGTGATCAGAGAAAAATCCAAATAGAAGTGGTTCAGGATATTCACCCCACACAAGAGAACTCAGCCTTTGTAACAGAGAGGTTCATACAGTGTGTAAAACTTGAGTTAGATATGCTCAAATTCATCTGTAACTTGTCATATAGTTAGGCAATCATAGATAGTCTGTGGCTCCTTCCACACAGCTGTATAAAATTCAAATTAAACTGGATTATATGACAGTGTGGACTCCGATAACCCAGTTCAAAGCAGATGTTGTGGGTTATCTGCCTTGATATTCTGGGTTATATGGCTGCGTGGAAGGGTCCTAAGAAGTTTTTCATACTTCCCATAACAGCACTGGTACATAGATGTTACCACATGTCTGTTACCCTTGCTTATTTGTCTCTCAGATCCTTAGCCTCAAGTTGTGAGGCTGGAGAGAGACTCGTCACATGGCCACCAAAAGTGTCCCACATTACTCCACTTCGCTGAAGAGTGTGAAGAAACCACTACCCCATGCCCCACATCGCCAGGCTCCTCTGACAGTTGGTCCCATGGAGGGAAGCATGGTGTGCGCATGTGGAGTGCACGGCTCCTCCCCATTAAAGTCAATGGAAACATGGGAAGCCTCCTATGTTTCTGAGGTGGTGACACACTGGTTCCATCCTCCTTCACCTACAGAGCCAGCATAATGTTGTCTAATGGGAGCCAGCAGGCTCCATGCATGACCAGGGTAAGATTGGTGCATATTTTAGCACCATATGATGAGATCAGAGAGGCAAGAGTGGGAGTACTGCTGCCCAAAGACAGAAGTAGATAGTTGGTGGCACAAAAAGAGATTGACAATTTGAGGGATGTATGAGCAAGAACAATTCACTGGCCAGCTTGAAATAGGTGGCTAGTGGCAAAATTTCCTATAATTGGAATTTTTCAGATTTCTGATTTTCAGATCAGAGAGGTCCAGGCTGTACTACCATGGTTAATGGCAGGAGTCTACTCACTTCTTGAAACGGATACTCATGTATGATTAATCACATTATTACTGCAGTTATTTGTTTATTTATTTCTTTTACTTTGACTTCTTTTTATGGATCAAAATTTATACTCCCCCCCCCAATTAGAATTAATAATAACCTGATAAAAAAGAATCTATATTGATAATAAAACAAAGAAGATTAAAAGATTAGACATAAATATAAAATATATTACTTTATCAATAAATCAATCACTAGATTATTCCTGGCCATTTTATGTTTGCTCAAATAAAAATGGTTTCATGTTTCCTCTGCAAGATGATTTCAAGAAGAAATCTCTGGAAGAAAATTACTCACCTATTGAATTAAAATTCAATAAGCCCAGGTCAGGAGGATAAAAAGTAATTTAAAAGCTGCTGGATTTGCATTTAGACTGACAGTTCAAATAGAGTTGAGGTAGAAGTTGGATTATTATGTTATACTGTCAGTTAACTATGAGGCATTTGGGAAATAGTTTATTTTTGGTCAGTGCCCAGCATTAGTCATTGATCCCATTAGCGTCCTTTAAGATTTTGAAGAACATAATGGAGGGTTGAGTACTGAGATCATGTTTTCTGCTTCTCTTTAACTTCTGTATTGAAGGAAGGGCTGTTGGGTTTGTAAGAGGATCACAACAACCCTGCCCATGTCTGTGTGGGTTTAAATCCACTAAGTCCAATAAGAATTACTCCCAAGAAGTGGGAAGAAGGCTACCTCCTTAGTTTATCAACATATACATGGCACCTTTGTTTATGCAGGGTTTAGAACAAATCTCACATGCAAACTAGCATCAGAATCTACCTGGCAGTGGAAAAGAAGCAGAGATGGCAATGGAATCACTCTGTCAATAGCCAAACATCAAGCCATGTTGTATGTCAGAAAACAGGTTACTTGCATCCATCAATATGACATTTTATTTCATTATTTCTTTTACAAATATTACACCGAATATCTAAGGGGTTGAGAGCCAGCATGGTGTAGTGGTCGGAGTGATGGACACAAAAGTTCAGTTCCCCATGCTCTCTATCGATAGGGTAACCTTAGTGCCCTTAATGCCGGAAATGACTTAAAGGCACAAAACAACAATCTAAGGAGTAAGAATTGTGTGGCTTTTCAGATATTCTTGAATTTCAGCTCCTAGCATTCCTTGCCAGATATAGATAGCTATTCTGCCTAAGTCATAGAATCACAGAGTTGGAAGAGACCTCGTGGGCCATCCATTCCAACCCCCTGCCAAGAAGCAGGAAAATCGCATTCAAAGCACCCCTTCCTTGGTTTTGCAACAGCCATTCCATGAAGCCAGAATAGATGGTAAACAGAGCCCCTCCATTTGATCTCTGCTGAGCCCAGCAACCTTTGGCTCTTCCTTTCTTTCCCATGAACTGTTTCCATTTGAGCTATTATAATCAGCAATTACATAACTAAGCAATGCCTGTTTGTTTTGTTCCCTTTCCTTCTCAATCATGTATTTTACACTTTAAGCATGAAGACAGCAGCTGTCTAACACTGATCTGTGCTAGGAACCTTTTCTTTTCTTTTTCTTCCTGAACAGCCAAGCAAAAATGATTCATAAATAAATAAATAAAGGCTGCACATAGCTCTCCACCCCCATATATTTCTCTTTTGAACACATTGATTTCTGGACAAGGACCTGATATATCTAGGTAGAACTGAATTGTATTACAATACAGATAAATATGTGCTTAGTGGCTGGAAGATCAAATTTATGTACTTATTTATTTTTATTTTAGAACATTTATACCCTGCCCATTCTTGACCTCCGAAGAGGGACTCAGGATGGCTACCAACAGGTAACAATTCAATTCCAACACAATATAAACACATAACAAAACACAATCAAATACCTAAAGACAATATAAATATAATATATAAATAAATATAAATAAATATAATATATTTGATTATAGAATCAAAGAACCTTAGAACTGGAAGTCAACACAAGGGCTATCTCTCCAAACCCCTTGCCTTGTAGGAATATACAACTGAGGAACTCCTGAAAGATCCACATCCATCCTCTTGTTTTTAAAGATTTCCAAAGAAGGAGAATGGGATCAACTCTATGATTCTATGAGAATGTACCACTGTCCAAGGCAACCTATTCCACTGCTGAACAGCTCTTACAGTAAAGAGGTTTCTTCCTTATGCTGATACAGAATACTCTGTCTTGTAATTTGAATCTATTGGTTCTTAGTCTATTCTTTGGAGCAGCAGAAAACAAGCTCAGTTAATGTTCTACATGATTTATCTTCAGATACTGAAAGATAGCTATCATGTCACCTAAAGCTCTTAAGTTGTACCCCATAAGTCTTGGTTTCTAGACATTTGATCTTTTTGACATCTCTTCTTTAGAATAATTCATTAAGTTTAGACATTAAACCCATATAGATTCAGCCTAGAATTGCATTGGAGTTATAGCACAAGACAAAGGTGTGAAAGAAGAACAGTTAACTATTTTCCCTGGAAGCAGAGGATCAGTATTAGAAGGGTCCCGGTTGTGTACTACGATTCTGCCTTGTAAATTAATATATTTATTATTTCTTTAGTGGGGAAAAGAAATTGCTAAAAATAGTAAAGGTAAAAATTTCCCTTGACATAAAGTCTAGTTGTGTCCAACTCTGGGTGATGGTGGTCATCTCCATTTCTAAGCTGTAGAGCCGGCATTGTCCACAGACACCTCCAAGGTCATGTGGCCAGCATGACTGCTTGGCGTGCTGCTACCTTCTTGCAGAAGGGGTACCTATTGATCTACTCACACTTGCATGTTTTCGAACTGCTAGGTTGGTAGAAGCTGGGCCTAACAGCGGGAACTCACCCTTCTCCTCACATTTGAACCGCCAACCTTTCATTGAGTAAGTTCAGCAATGCAGCAGTCTAACGTGCTGCACCACCAGGGTGCTAAAAATAACAAGTTATAATATACAAGTTATTTTCTTTCTTTCTTTTTTCCTTTCAAGGTACTGGTGCCGGGCAGTGGCATAGGAAACAGTGGTGGACTCATGTCATGAGCCAATATTGAATAAATTCCATGTGTATATGTTTAAGAGCTGATTTCAACTATTGGGTGTGTGCCTTGCATCAGAACAAAGGGAGGAGTAACTTCTCTCCAGAAGATCACTAGAAGACCCATCTAAGTGCTTCTTGTGCTTTCAAATGTAAGCAGGGCAATTCAATGTAAGATGCAAAGAAATAAAAAAAATATTTCTACTCTGATCCTAAACACTCAATTTTAGATGGAAAAGTTGGGGGTTGTCTTATACCCCAGTTGTCTACTACACCGGAAAATACGGTAATTGCCAAAATCATACATTACTTCAAAGCTTTGAGTGATATGCTATCCAGTATTTTATTTCCGATTTCCCCAACTACACAGGTCTTATGAGAAGGGGAAACTTCACAAAGAATTGTGAACTGCCTCCTCTCTTTTCCATCAAAGAGTTTTGTACGGGCATCAACACCAAATATTCATTTCAGCTGCATAAGCTTCTAGGAATCCAAGTGATTCATTTTGCAGCATTTTGTTTCAGATCTTACATTTGTGATCAGAATTCACTGATGGCTAATTTTAGAATCTGTCATTTGGTCTGTTGATCAGAAAAGATAACATTGCATTATTCAGGCCCACACCTTACAGTGTCAAATTTGATTTGTCTGTTTATACCATTGAATACATTATGAATCAGCCCCAGTTTTTTCTAGCAGTATTCTGGATCAACGTTTCCCTAGTCATTTATCTCTTTTCTAAATTGCTTTCATTCTTCTTCATCTTTTTCTGTGTACCTCTGCTCTCCATTTTATCCTCAGCATATTTTAATCCCCTGAAGTCATTTCAGCCTAATGTTGTTTATTTTCCTACCACTTAACATAACAGACAGACTTTGAAAGGAGAGGGGAGAGAGCTTCAAAAAAAGTTACTGTATTTTACATATTTTTCTTTCTTTATTGGATTCCACCCAAATTTGATCAGTCCAGATTGATGGTGGGAATTTTAAGCGGGTAAAGTTTAGATGCTAGAACATTATGCAATTCACCATTCCATCTTTGAGTGAGAGAGTCTCTCTCTCATAAACACACAGAAAGAGAGAAAGCCTTATTTGAGAAGGCATCTCATATAATTGCTATGAACAAATGCTTTCCATAAGCATATGCTTGCATGAGGCTTATCAATGCAATGTTTACTGTTTATGTTCCTCTGCAGTACTACTGGAATAAAAATTACACTGCGAACCACAGGAGTGGGGTGTGACCTAGGATGGCAGAAAAGTAGCCCTGGATCACTTGCACTCAGCCACAAATGTACAAGGATCACTTTATTGGGTGGATGCTATTGCTTGTGGCAAGTTCATATTTGTATTCTTTCTGGGATCCTCATAATTCCTGCATGCTCTGGTTCCAAACTTTGCATTGCTGCTGAGTAGAAATATGTGAAAATCAAGTGGACAGCAAATTGAAACATTGTAAGCCAGGCTTGTGTCGAGTATAGGCCTGGGTAACAACGGAAAAATTTGTTTCTAAAATCGATTCGTTTTTTGGGGTTTTTTGCGTTTCGATATTTAAAAGAATTCCGAAATTTTCCTTTTAAAAAGTTTGATATTTACGAAATTTCGTTAATATTAACGAATCAATTCGTTAAAATGGCGGACGCGGTTGCGCAACGTGAAAATAATAGTTTTAAATAATAGTTTTAACCTCGGAGAAGGAAAGAGGGGGGAAAGAGAGAGAGAGGAGGGGTGAGATCTCTATTCTGGTTTGACAATGCTTCTCAATAATAATAATAATAACAAACCACTTTCTGCCTTCGTGCATGTAAGGCACAGTCAAAGCACTACTGAAAGATGGCCATCCATTCTTAATAATAATAATAATAATAATAATAATAATAATAATAATAATAATAATAATAGTTTAAACTTTGTAAAGTTTTTATGTGTGCTACAAATGGAGCAAAACGGTCCCTAACTGTAAGGTACTCCTTTAATAATAATAATAATAATAATCACAAACCCCCTTCTGCCTTCATGCAGGGAATGCAAAATTAAAGCACCCCTGAAAGATGGCCATCCATTCTTAATAATAATAATAATAATAATAATAATAATAATAATAATAGTTTTAACCTCTGAGAAGGAGAGGGGAGAGAGAGAGAGGAGGGGGGGGGGAATTCTCTATTCTGGTTTGACGATGCTTCTCAATAATAATAATAATAATCACAAACCCCCTTCTGCGTTCATGCAGGGAGCAGGCAACAGGCAGGTCTCTGAGTGCTGCATTGCTGTGTCTCTTTGCCCAATGCACGCAGGCCAGAGTGAGGAACGAGGTGAGGTGACGACAGGAGGAGAGGAGAATTTGATCCACTTAAGCCGAGGCCAGGGACCCGGAAGTGGGGTAAATGCCGACCGCTTGCAACCAGGGAGAGGGAGGGAAACAACTATAAAACTTGCACCAGACATACGGAAATAATAACGAAACAATTACAAAACAATTACGAAATAGATTTAAAAATTCGTTTCGTTTTTTAGTTGCTCCTGAATGGTTTGTTATCGCTTCATTATAAAAAAAAATAACGAATTATTAACGAATTACGAAATTAACGAACGAAACCGCCCAGCCCTAGTTGAGTACAGTTTTCCAGATGTCATGGCACAGCAGCTCCCAGCATTTCTCACCATTAGCCATGTCAACTAAAAGTGATGAAATACGCAGTTCAATAACATTTGTAGTCTCTCACTTGGTTCATTCCTGCTGCAAAATTGGTGTTCTCCTGGTGTTCATGTGAAGAAAGGCAGGTTACAGTGTGTGGCAAGGAATAATAATAATAGTAAACATTTTATTTGTACCCCACTACGATCTCTTCAAAGGTACTCGGGGCGGCTAACAAATCACTTCGAAATGTTGCATATACAATGAATGATACATTAACCTAAGAATGAATAACATAAGATTACAGACATCCACGCATATAAAATCACATAATAAAATATTAAAATTCATAAAATGCAGTCATAACTGCAGATAAAACGTTACAGTGTGTGGCAAGGAATAATAATAATAGTAAACATTTTATTTGTACCCCACTACGATCTCTTCAAAGGTACTCGGGGCGGCTAACAAATCACTTCGAAATGTTGCATATACAATGAATGATACATTAACCTAAGAATGAATAACATAAGATTACAGACATCCACGCATATAAAATCACATAATAAAATATTAAAATTCATAAAATGCAGTCATAACTGCAGATAAAACTGGTTGTTATTGGTTAATGAATCCAGTGCCGAAATGAAATCAACCCTAAATCCTCAGGTTAACCCGTAAAATCTACACAAGATCAAAGGCTTGTTTTAAAAGCCATGTTTTTAGACTGAAATGGAAGACTTGGAAAGAGGGGACTAATCTAATCTCTCTGGGGAGGGCATTCCAGGGCCAGGAGACCACCACCTGGGACGGTGGTGGGACAGAGAGAAGGGCCTTCCCAGTGGATCTCAGAGCCTGCATCGGCTCATAGAAGAAGATGCAGTCTCGAAGAGCCTGCAGCAAGCAATGGGGACAACAGATGAGTTTTTCATGTCCCTTTCTAGGTCTGAACCAGATAGGAATATGTTCCTGAACTGCTAGTCATGCAATCTTCTGAAGTGCTTTTCTTACCACTTTCTGGCTAGGCTTCCCAAGTGCCCTTATTTTAGGGCTGGAAATCTTGTCCCTTCTTATAAGGATTGCCCCTTTTTGGAAAGGTTTCCATTTTGTGACTGAAAAATATGTCAAAATCCTTTATCTGGGTGTATTGGCCATTCATAAAAACAGAAATGTGTGCATTATGTAGTGTATGGATGTGGACAGTATCCAGAGAAATCCATGAGTATTTCAACAGAAAGTTTGACTTTCATTTTATATTATGGACTTGTGTGTGTTTGTGTTTGGGGGTGGGGGGGTGAGTGAAGGGAAACATGTTACCCTGTTTCCTCCCACCTTTCCCTGTCTTCTGGGATGGTCAGCCATCCTATGTCTTTTCTGTGCCTTTCCTGTCTTTCCCCTGCTTTCACCAGTTTGGAGTCAACCCAACTCCTGAAGATGGTATTTGGGCTCTGTTTCCATGTGCTTAGGAAATGGAGAGCCACAGAATCCCACCAGAATAGCTCTTCTGTCATGCTATGGCCTCCATGGGTCTCCTGTGGAACTATGTTTCTTAAACACTTGGAAATGGAGCCTGAAGACCATCTGATGAAATCCTAAGGTACACTCCTAACTTGTTACAAGCTGCTTCCCGATTGTCAGCCCTGCATATCATGAATTTTGATGGTTCATTATTGGTGCTTTGAGAACTTGGCAACCCAACTTTCTTCTCACTTATTTTTGAACAGTTTGCAACATGCTAGGAGGTTATGGAGTTACAATAATGCATAGGCCTTGACAATTTCAACCACATTAAATAGCAAAGTGATAACGCGCCAGGAAAAGTCCATGATTGGCTGCTCTCTCTTCTAGTTGCTGTCGGTTCCCTCAGCAGCAGTATCTGTGAGATCAACTTTTCCTTTGATACTACTATAGCCTTAGGAATGATACCCATTCTTCTGGACAGAGGAATGTAGACCTGAAGAAATGCACTCTTCCTCCCTTTCAAACATTGCTGTAGATACCAACAAATCAAAACCACATGCTCCACTTAGCTACTTTTCCTTCCTCCCCTTTTCTTTCTTCAAGCTTTGCAACCAGATAACCAAGCAATCTTTTCTCTTGTCACATTCAGATGCACTGTTATCACATAATACCTTCACATTTATTATCATGGCATCAGATGCTTTCAATAGTTTCCTTCAGTACATTTTCACTAATCATAAAAGGCATCAAAGTTACTTTATCTTCAACAGGTTGGGTGTTACAATAGAGTTTGTGGCATATTACAGTACACACCAAAACACCTTATTTCACATGATGGCTTGCTTACACCTCAATGGTTTTGCCGCATGCTTCTGAAACACACATGCTGCTGTAGTTAGGCCCATCATATCTGTATCCCACGAGCAACAACCATTCCCTTGAAATCTTTCTCAATACTTGGCTGCATCTTGAGGATCACAACTTTTTGAGTTTGACAGATGTTCTGTGATGTTCTGAGTAAATTTTTAAAAATCAATTCTATATGTTCTTCCTTTTTGTTTCCATTCT